TAGAGTCTAATTAAGTTATCTTAATACTGTAGCAGTATTTGTGTTAAGAGAGAGTGAATCAATGGAGTTGGGGTGGGGGGCTTCTTCCTTCTCCACTTTCAATTACATGTATTTTTCATTGTTGTTGTTGTTTGTTTTGTTGTTGTTTTTTTTTTTTTTGTTATTTTTAGCTCACCTGAGATGAAAGCTCAAGTGAGCTTTTCTGATCACTTGTTGGCCAGCATCTGTCCTTCTCTCCATCTGTCTGGAAGCTTTTCACAATTTCAGCTTCTTCTCAAGAGGCACTGTGTCAATTTCAAGCAAAGTTGGCTCGAAACATCCTTGGGTTAAGGAAATTCTTAATTACTCAAAGAATGGTCAAGCCTCTTCCAAGGGCAAGATAATCAGGAAAATGCAAAAATAGAATGGGGTCTTTAAGAAATCTTCTTAAAAACCACTGGGCCAGAAAGTTGAAACATGTGAAAGCTTCTTAAGGTAGCGCAGATTCTAAATTGTTCAAATCATTGTCCATGGGGGTAGGATGGGGCCACAATAGGAGATCAAAGTTTTAACAGTGAAATATATAGGAGAAATCTTTTAAAATCTTATTCTCGAAAACCACTGGACCAGAAAAGATGAAACTTAAGTGAGATCCTCCAGACAAAAATGTAGATTCTAAATTGTTTAAATCACAGCCTCGGGGGGTAGGGTGGGGCCACAATAGGGATCAAAATTGTATATTGGAATATTTAGGAAAAAACTTTTAAAATCTTCTTCTTCAAGAACCGCTGGACCAGATAAGATGAACTTATGTGAAAACTTCCTAATATAATGTTAATTTTGAATTTTCAATTCATAGCCCCTGGGGGATTGGTGGGGCCATTATAGTGGATCAAAATTTTACATAGAATTGTTTAAGGAATAAATTTAGCTCATCATAGATGAAAGCTAAAGTGAGATTTTGTCCTATGACCAGCTGTTCATCTGTGAACTTCCTCTCAAGAACCCTGGGCTAATTTGAACCAAAATCGACACAAAGCATCCTTGGGTGAAGGGAATTAGAGTTTGTTTAAATGAATGGCCATACCCTCATTCTAAGGGAGAACGTTTAGAATAAGTAAAAATACAATGGCTTCCTCAGGAAGTGAAGATTCAAGTTTTGTTCAAGCATGACCTCCAGGTTTAGGACAGGACCACTGTGGGTGATCAAAGTTTTACATGGGCATGTATAGGAAAAGCCTTTAAAAATCTTTTTCTCAAGAATAGCAAAGGCATGATTAGTCCTATTTATATGGAGTCATCATCAGGTAAGGTAGATTCAAATTTGTCCAAGTCATGAACCCCAGAGGTAGGGTGGGCCACAGTGGTCAATCAAAGTTTTACATAGGAATTTATAGGGAAAATCTTCTCAAGAAAAGCAAAGCAATGATAAGTCATATCTATATGAATGCATCCCCAGATACATTGTAATTTAGATTCAAGTTTGTTCAAATCATGACTCCCAGGGGTAGGGTGGGGCCACAATGGGTATCAAAGTTGTACATAGGAATATATGGGGGATAATCTGCTGATGAACAGCAGGGTCATAGTGATTCAGGTAAGCGATGTGGCCCATGGGCCTCTTGTTTGAAATCTTTTCAAGAACTATAATAGAACCATTAATTCACAAGCATCCCCAAGTTGTGTAGATTAATTTATTTTTGGTCACCTGAGTGACTCAGGTGACCTATTGCTATCTGTTTTTGACCATCATTGTGCCTTGTGCATTAACATTTTAACATTTTCAACTTCTTCTCTGGAACCACTTTCAACCAATTTTGGCATTAAACATCTATGAGTGAAGGGGAAGACAAATTTTGAATTTCAAGGTCTCTACCCCCCCCCCCCCCTTGGGCCTAAGGGATGGGTCTAAAACCATCAAAATTAATGCAATCTTTTAAAATCTTCTTTACTCCTGAACATCAAGCAGTCAAACTGTTGCCATAGTTGTATTAAGCATCGATCCCTCTACAAAAAATTTGAAATTCATTACTCCAGGTTCAGGGGTTCTGGAGTTAGGGCAGGGCTCTATAATGATCATATAGTGAAAATGCATTAATTCTTCAAAAATCTTCTTCTTCCCCCCCCCCCCCCCCACTTTGCCCTGTAGATTCACCAGATAAACTAAGTGCATGGTTATGATTGAGCAATAGTGCCTCTTTCAAACTGCCTCTTTCGAAATTGTGAAATTTGTGGCCCCAGGATTTGGAGTTCAGGGGGGCTTTATTGATTATAGTGAAAATGCATTATATCTTTGAAAATCTTCTTCTCTGCTCCTGAGTAATACAGAAAAAATAAGTGCATGGTTACGATAAGCAAGGGTGCCTCTTCCAAAATTGTGAATTTCGTAGTCCTAGGGTCAGGGGTTCTGGTGTTAGGGCAGGGTTCTATGGATTATAAAGTGTAAATGCATTAATTCTTTGAAAATCTTCTCTGGTTTTTGGGTATAAAGCAGAAAAACTAAGTGCATGGCTATGATGAGCAAGGGTGCTTCTCCCAAAATTGTAAATTTTTTGGCCCCTGGGTAAGGGGTTCTGGAGTTGGCTCTATAGATTAAATGGTGGAATGCATGAATTCTTTAAATATCTTCTCTGCCCCTTGGTATTTAGCAGACAAACCACTTGAATGGTAATGATGAGCAAGGATGCCTCTTACAAATTATGAAATTCATAGCCCCTGGGGGAGGGTTTTTGTGTTAGGGTGGGGTTCTGTTGAATATACATGTATAGTGAAAGTGCATAATTTCTTTGTAAATCTTCTTCTCTGTCCCTGGGTATTTAGCAAACATACTAAATGCATGGTTATGATGTGCAAGGGTGCTCTTCCAAAGTTATGAGTTTCTCGGCCCCTGGTTCAGGGGCTCTGGTGTTAGGGTGGGGCTGTATTAATTATATAGTGAAAATGCATTAATTCTTTGAAAATCTCCTTCAGTGCTCCTAGGGTTTTAGTAGATAAACTAAATAGTAAATACATAGTAATAATGAACAAGTGTGCTTTATCAAACAAAAAAATGTGAGTTTCATGACCCTTGGGCCAGGGATTTTTATAATAGGGTGAGGCTTTGTTGAATCTATAGTGAAAATGCATTATTTCTTTGAAATTCTGCTGCTCTGCTCCTGGGCAAACAAAGTTGTAATGAGCAAGTGTATTTTTACCATACTCAGGCAAAATTCGGAACCACTTGGTTAAGTATACTGGTGCTGGGGCAGGACTCTATTAATTTGTATTCTACTGGGAGAAGTTATTTCCCTTTGTTATTTACCTATGATAATTTAATTACTGTTAATAGTGTAATTGAAAGGTCAATTGAATAAGAGGTTTATGCAAGAATTTCAATAATATGTCATATAAAAAGTACTTTCGTTGTTTTTAAGGATCAGGTAGACTTGGGAATAATAGAAAAATTAAAAATGAGACAAAATACCTTGTCTTTATACATTACCTGTTCTTCAAAGACCAAGAGAGGTCAGGGGGAGATGAGATGGGTTTGCTCAAGGACTATTGTTTTGTTTACATGGTGATAGTAGTACAGGCAAGTAATTATGGATCCTTTACAGTGTTGTATTATACTCCTGTGACCGTTAAGGCTCTTGTTCATAAAAATAATGGATCCTGGGTTAGAGCTGGCTTAATAAGTGCAAGGCTATTTTAGTGATATTGAGGCATTCTCATGTTGTGTGGATTTAAAGACCTTTTAATTCGGGGGTCCATAATATGGGATCACAATTTATCATGGGAATATAAAAGTCCGAGGGACAGCGAGGATAAAGTTACTTAGTAAGCGATATGGTCCATGGGCCTTCCCCTTTGAAGTGGTCCATGGGCCTTCCCCTTTGAAGAATGAACCACGTGTCTGTTAAAAAAAACAGTATCCTTTTGAAATTGGAATTAAAAATATATCTTAGTTTAAGCTATGTTTAACTGACAATTAATAGCAATTATTACAAACATACGGCGTAGGAAAAGCCAATGAAAAAGGATCGGAAACAAGTTTTAAAGGTGCCTGGACGCAGATTTGAAGTTAATATTTTCTAAAATTTTCTAGATTTAATATCATGACTTGTATGTTACTATACCATTTCACACGGAAATATAATATCTGGAAATTATTGAATCTCCAGAATGCGAGAGGATCGCATATTTTGGCCGTGGTTTGCGACGATGGACTTTTATTGATAAATTGAAAATTCAGTGGACAAAACTACGCTGTGTATTTGATAGTGATATAAATGAGACCCTTTTTAAGTAGTATTAAAAAAATGAGGTTTTAGGCAGTTTATATATAACAGGAAATTCCGAAAATATAGTGCGAGATTTCACATTTATATCCTAAAGGACTTACTGAGAATGATATTGATTACTAGTCAATATAGTGATTATCAACTTATGATTTTTTTTTTTTTTTTTTTTTTTTTTTTTTTTTTTTTGGTAATTTTTCGCCACACCGTATATTTCAACAGAGATCCTGATGATTATAAGTAAGTAAGTAATTTATACATAATTTATATATTTTATACTGACATGTGTACATAAATTATTTTTTTTTACAAACTGTATAAAATAACAATAAACACCTGGCCCATCGGGCCTGTATGCCACTTTAAACAAAATCGCTGAAAATTGCAGTTTAAAAAAAATCGTATCGAAATTGAACATTTTTAATACATAGATACAGACATAGAAAAACACACAATACACCATCCTGAAACCGAGCCCTTATGGGTGAAACAGATCCTTTATATATTATAATATATATCATCGTAGTCGGTATATCATGCATATTGTAGAATGATTTCATATTAGACCAAACTCTTTACTGGCACAGAAAATAAAATCGTATTTATATTGTACAAATATCTATTTACTACGGAAGCCTATTCATGCTAACGCTATAGATCGGAAGATCGGGTTCGGAATACAATTAAGTATTTTTCCTCCAACATTCGAAGGAGAAGACCGAGAATATTAGGTTAAAATGTCAAATCTCTGTAAATCTGTGTATACATTTGGTAGAAAGTATGTGGGATGTAAACAATTATTTAGATTTTTCTGTATCATCTCGTCTAATTCAAAAACATCGATTGATTCGAAAAGGACTTGTGGAATAATGAGAAAATTTGGATGCAGTGGACTATCACATTCTCATGTGCGGTTTGGTGCAAATAAACAAACTGATGAAGAAATATTGACTTACTTAGAAAAAGAAATTAAAGAAGAGGCAGACGGAGATGCACTTAGTGATAAATTTTATTTCACTGAATGGAAACTTGCAAAGGCGGAGTCAGAAATCACAATGACCAAGAAACTCCAATCAGAAACCATCACAGTAATATTTAATGTGAATGATTCTTTAGAAGACAATTATGACGAATATGAGAATGTTGATCTAGATGGTCCTCCAATGTCTTCACGGCCGTCATTCGTGGTGGAGATAGCAAAACCAAGTGGGATAAAAATGATGATCAGCTGTGAATGTGTATCTGACCAAGAGTCTCTTGACAGTTTTGATAAAAATAGTACTAATGCTGATCAGATCGAGATCACAAGTGTTCAGGTGTACAAAGGTGAACGTTTGCCCACAAACTTTGTTTGTCAAAAATTTGATGAAATGCTATATGAAAAACTGTTAAATGTTCTAGAAGAAAGGAATATTAATAATCAGTTTGTCAGCGAATTGATTTCTTATAGCACAGTTTATGAACACCAGCTATATGTTGATTTCCTTAAGAAAATGAAAAGACATTTAAGTGAAAAATAATAATTTAAAATATATGTAATTATCGATAATTTGTAAATGTAGTTTAGTCTAGATGTAACCAATTTCAAATGGTGGAAGACATATTTTTTATTTCATATGAGACAAAGTATTCAATTACCGTTCAAGGGTATACATTACAAATAATATGTTTGACAGTACAACTGTTTGGACAAGCGAGAGGATTGTAGACAGAGTTCACTGCAAAAAAAAAAAAAATGTGCACAGTCCGAATTTTCTCTCTGCTAAGGCATTGCTTTAAAATGTGTAGTGGGTGTAGATTATAGGGCTGGGACAATACAACTATTAATCTCTATCGATTGTATCACAATATTTTAGTCATGATATGATATGTATCACAATATTTTGAATTTGTTATACAATATTCTTTTTGTATTGAAATGAACCAAAAAAGAATATATTCATATAGAATCTGTACAAATTGAAATTATTTCACAAAAATTGTGTTAATTATTATGTATTTCATATTTATATTTAGCATATTTATTTTATATATTATACCCAAAATGTTTATAAAAAAACAAAAATAATAAGTTGGATTTTTTTTTTTTTTGCGATATTTCGATATTTCTATATAGTATTTATATAGCAATATTCCGTTATAACTTATATTAATATGATAAATGCTGTCTGTATATATAGTATTTCATCGCAGTCCTACTATCCATGGAGATTTTTTTTCTTTACATGAAAATTCATAGTATAGTATGCATTCCCTAAATCGAGAAGGACATTTAAATACCCACATTATCTCTTTATTTTGATAATGCTACGTAGATGACTTAATTTATATGATGGGTATGTCCAGCTTGTTATGACAAAACATTTCACATTTTACGTTTATTTCATGCATAGTTTTTTCCTAACATAGACTGGCGACCTGTAAGTAAACTTTTTTTCACATCTATGGTCACTGTCGCCATATTGCACGAGAAAAGTTAGAACGATAAAAAATCACAATTAATGGCAAGTGCACCTCGCACATCATTTTAAAAGATGTACTGTAGACAACGTGCGTTAATATTTTTCAATATATATGTAAAAATGTGTCTAATAATCAAGCTGTTGATGCAGTGGTCATTTTAATTTAATTGTTTCAAGTCAAATCTGAGCCACTAATTAAAAGAACAATAATGAAACGAAATGCGTATGAAAAAATTAAGTTATTTAAAATGACATTACTTTATTTTTTAAGACATTGCCACTAAATAATAACATTAAATATATGTCTTATTAGTTTTAGATCACAATATCAAGGATAACAATTTAATTCTGCATGCATTTAAAATACATGTATTACCCATTAACTTTCTGACATTCTCTCCCTCTTTCTCTCTCAAGAGAGATGTTACATTGTACTTCCATTATATAAGGAAAAAAATATTTATATATATACCAGCCATTCCAGGATTCGAACCCATTCTCAGGTAAAAAAGAATATTTGCATAGAGTCCACACGCTCTACCCCTAGACCAGCTCCGACCCTGAAGTATCAATTGCTAATTTAAGTGCACATTTTGCATTTCGGATGGATAATGATTTTTATTCGATTTTTGTGATTTTCATAAATATGCCTCTTTGAAACAAAAATTGGAAATGGCAGTTTTGAAGAAAAATCCTGTCTCTTTATGCGTATATCAAATTCATTCTGTTTCAAGGAGGCAATTTTTCAGGACAATGGGGATTCCCTATTTGAAAAACAGAAAACTTGACTTATTTAATTTTTGCTATGTGACTAATTTACACTTAATTTAATGGCAAATTGGAAGTGGATATGCAGTTTCTAAATATTGTTCTACATTGTGCTGTATTTACCGTTGTATCTGAAAAAAATTAAGACCGTTTTCTGTTACTTAAAATTTTTCTTTTAATACTGCTACAACTTTAGGGAAAATAACAAAAAGAACTGCAACACCCTCTTTTTATATACATGTATATATTAAGTGATGCTGTGGCGGTCAGACGGGTTCGATCGCCGGTGGCCAGATAGTTCAGGCACGTAGTATCGTCTTTGAAAAAAAGGGGGGGGGCAACCAGAAAAAAGACAACTTACCTGAAAAAACGAGAACGAACAAAAAAAAGTCCAAACTCGAAAGTCATATTTCGTTGGGAGGGGGTGAAGGGGAAAGGTTCCAACTTTCTTCACAACCAAATCTGCAGTTTTATTACCCAGTTATACCATGATTTGACTACATATACTGCAACAAAAAGTGGGAGGCCAACCTGCCTTTCAGATAACATATCCACCAGTAATAGGCTATGATGGAAAAAGGGGGGGGGGGCGATACAACGTGCCTGCAGTTGGTAGAGCACCACTCTCTACCATCGGTTCATAATGGGCTTGCGCGGTATATCACAGTGAAAAGCACGATAAATAGTGCATTATAATTAAATGTCTGCGTTAATGTTTGGCCTTTTAAGATACATAATTACAAAATAGATCTAGAACTATTGGTTAAATTTGAAATAATCCTTGGAATATCATGTTTATTTCATGCGAGTCCATTGCACAGTTGTCTGAAAGGGGAGCGAACGACAACTCTGCAAAGGAAATTGGTAGAGCAATAAGGGGGGGGGGAGGGGGGGTTCAAATCCTGGTCTTGTCCGTCGCATTTTTCTCCTTTCCTATAGACCCTTTTCCTATGACATATTTTGCCTAGGAGTTATTTCCCTTAGCCGCCATATTGGGCAACATTCCAAGATCCCTTCATTATTCAACCAAGTTCAATTTCTTATACTGGTTACTGAGGTAAAGATAACACTATTTTTCTTATGAATACACATTTGTTATATCCTCTATTAATTCATGATAATAAGATTGTAATATATACGAGGGGTTATCAAAAAGTTCGTGGACTAGCGTCATAAAATTAAAACCGCTTTAGGTACATCAATGAATTTTTACACATTTAGTAAGCATCATCTTTTCTATCTAGAGATTAAACCATAAGTCATAATTTTTATTTTTTAAATAAATTGTTAGTGTTTTTGTAAGCAAAGGTATGTCCAGGCGGCGCAACCTCTAATATGACGTTTTCTTCTACCACCTTAGTGTAACTGGGAAAAACTCTTTAGATATGAGTATTTGTCATAAAATTATCTCGTTAATTCAGGCATGTGGTACGACACATTTGTTCAGTAAAATTTGCAATTTTTACCCAATTCTGTAATTTCTATGAAATGTTATCGTAAATTTATATGGAGTGTCCAAACAATTATGGGCTTGAAAATAACGTCTAAAGGGGGGAGGGGTTTCTTTTTCAAACACTCTTTAGAGTTTCGCTCCTAGAAAAACTGGTATAGACCTAAGGAATGTTTAAACTGGCTACAGAAAAAAACTGAATCCAGAGTACTTCTTTTTTAATGCCCAAAAAGATTCAGAGAGATGGAATATGCACAGTTAGTGTCGAGTTGTAGTCAGTATTTCAAAAGTCAGTCACGTCGAAAAGTGGCGTTGATCATGTGTGGAGAAATTGAACTCCAACAAGCTAAGTATTCTGGCATAATCAAGTGAGGATCTTTCCCCATATATAGATCCATTTACAATATTATATGCATTGAAAACAGCTGCTCATGACATTGTAAATTCATATAAACAAGACGGGTTTAAGTCCTTACTTAACTCCTGGTAATCTCATCAAGATAAGTGTATGAGGTAGAGAGAGTGGACATTAAGAAACAATGACGTTAAGTGGACGTCATGACACTAAACGGCGACAGCGCCGGGTGATCACATAAAGTCTTTTTAAAGTTAGAATAATTTGGCAAATTATCAACGTATAAAGCTAAAATTTTCAACATTTCTTAAACTTTTGTTGTTTTATGTTCCCCATAAATTTTGTAAGCAAAGACTACATATTATTAATTTTATCGAGTCAGTCCACGAACTTTTTGATAACCCCTCGTATTTCCCCCCATATTTTTCTTGAATGCATGTTTAAAACTGGTTGCTCAAAGAGGTAAATTCACTGCTTTGCCATACAAGATGGCGGCTAAGGGGAATAACTCCTAAGCAAAATGTGTCATAGGAAAAGGGTCTATACATGTAGCTGTTGCATTTGGTGCCATACGTGCCATACCCTGGAATGACAGATGAAAGATCTGCTAGGAAAGAGCCTGGGTTGGTGTCTTTTAGGGGGTGAAGACCTTTAAGGATGGAGGAATGTGGTGTCGGCCGGGTTCGATGCCGGTGGCCAGATAACTCATTTGGTAAAGCACCTGACTGGAGATTCACGGGGCCCGGTTTCGAATCCCGGTGTGGTCCGTCACTTTTTTTTTCCTTTCCTGTTAAAATGGGAAGGCAGGCGACACATGCGTTCCTTGGAACACTCTAGTTTGGAAAGTAATCTTCGCTGTATTTTCCTTTTATAGGTCCCCACCATATATGCAGTAAAGTTCGGCGCGAACTCTGGCAAATTCTTGCATTTGTAACAAAAAAAAAACAAAAAAAGCACCCCAATCCACCTCCTTAGATGAGTTATTCGAGTTTGGGTAGTTTATTTTTCTGCTTTTTTTTAAATCTCTATATATTGTCAGTTTTTAGGATGCTGTGCCCCCTCCCTTTTGAAAAACATTGCTTCGGGCCCAAAATCGACGTTTTTCTGCAAAAACCATGTTGCCAAAACCTTTTTTACTCATGTTTTGATTTTCTCATGTGCATTATCTGCTAACGTAACGTCTTCAAAGGTTAAATGTATACGTTCCTCAATAATAAATTATTTTTTCCAAGAATTTGTTATTGAAGTATTGCTACTTTAACAAGTTTCCTTACAATAAATTAAGGTACCTTACCAGGCATTTGTGCATGTTGTGCAAGATACCAGATGATGCTATTTACTATATAATCCTATTGAAAATCACTAGCATTGCCAATATCGCAATTTTTTGGTGTCTTTATCAACTTAGACATTTTGAAAACAGTTTAAAAGTTTCAAAACAGTGATAATTATCATTATTTTGTTGTCTATTACAAAAAAAATGTTAAACAGATATTCAAGCAACATGTCGTCAGACCTTAGATTAAAAATAAAACACCAAAAAAAAAACAAAAACAAAAACAAAAAAAACTGACACAAATCGAGATCGGTATTCAAAAAAAGGAAAACAACTCAACTTGGATCACGTTGTGAACAGTGTTGGTTAACCTTCGTTTGTTAAAAACAGGAAAATATGTCTTCTTTACTTGCAAAACATTTCTTTAACAGTTTTCAAAAGTCAAAGAGGGCGATCTGCACAGCTGCCTCATTTGGAAGATATCTGTCATCTGCAAATTTTCACAGTAACCCACAGTCCAGCGTTTTGGCCATGTCGAGGAAACTCGAATGTAGTTCACTCCAGAAAAGATTGCTATACACCGAGACAGACCAGGACATGTCTCAGCATATTGCAAAAGAAATTGAAAACGAGAAAAAGGGCCCAAGTAGTCAGGCGACAGAATATTTAAAAAACTGGAAAATTGTGCGAGATGGATGTGAAGTTTCCATGTCTAGAACAGAGGGAAACGAAACGATAACAGTTGAATTCAATGTCAACAACGCTACTGATTTGGTCGATGAAGGATCAGGAGATTACAGTAATGAAATGCCACAAATGATTTGTAGACCACCATTTATTGTACAGATCCAAAAACAGAGTGGCATGAAAATCCGCATTTCTTGCCAGTTTCTCAATGAACTAGAAGCAGATGATGGGGACGAGCAGGACGTTCGAGATAAATTTGAAATTGTACACTTCAGCGTCTGCAAAGGTGAAATTATGCCATCAACGTATGTCTGCAGTGGAGAGACAATGGATGGAGAAATGTATGAAAAGTTGATGGACATGTTGGATGAACGCAGAATAGACAATGAATTTGCCAAAGAGTTGATTGATTTTAGCACCAGCTATGAACACAATGAATATATCAAGTTTCTCACCACTTTCAAATCTTTTGTTGATGAGAAATAAGAACAGTATAGTAGAAATTTGTGAATATTTCATGCAAAGTAGAAGAATAATAGTTTTTAACAAAAAGATGAATGCTTTGTATACATGTACATTTAATGAAAGAATGACATCTGACTTGACTTTTTTTCCGATAATTTACATATTTATATCCTTGTGTATAAAATTGAGTATGGTGAACAAAATGAAAATGTGAAAAACTATGATTATTTAAAGGATCTCTCATGTTTCGTTATTGGAGGTGGCTTTTATCCACCTTGTGTTTTCTATTTCCTTGCATGGCTTTGTCATGAAGAAACATGAGAAAACACAATTAAGTTAGTTAAAAGCTACATGTATATCCTGATTCTAATTACAAAGTGGCACACTGAATATGTATCACATTGTTACCTACTTTTAATGGTTTAATCCATTTGCCATCATTTCAACCCTGGGCTCTGCACACTACCTGCGCCCTTGTAAGACGCGATTTATAATTACAAAATATATCAACTTCAAACAATTAAAACCCCAACACTCTGACTTGGATTTTCATAACAAGCATTTTGGTATATACATGTAACATGTATTCTGTATATATAGGACCATTCAAACTGACAAACACGCCATTATCCACGAACTGTTTAGACACCCCTCATATATCGGCACTAGGGTGTATTTTAAAAAGTAAGTCAAATATTAAAGCCTTAAAAGGACATAGCATCGTTTTTGAAAGGAGGACAACCCGAAAAAATTCAACTTTAATACTTGAACAACGAGACCAAAAAAAAACAAAAACAAAACAAAACAACAACAACAACACAGTAAAATTGTCCAAACTCGAAAATCCTATTGTGGGGGGAAGGGGGAGGGTTAGGTTCCAACTTCTTTTATGTTTTATTCATAACTACAACATTAGCCTTATTTGACTTTACTGCAACAAAAAGGAGGACGGGGCGGCCTTTCAATGAACATTTTCAATAGCAAAAAGTTATGTTTGGAAACCCCCCCCCCCTAAAGCTACGTAGGCTTTAAAAGGTCCAGTTCAAAAGTCACAAGGTTGGTAACCCTGGTAATCTACAATAGCCATTTTTCCAAGCAATACGTGAGCAAAAAAATCAAATCCCTGCCTTTAACAGTCCTGAAGTTATAAGGTGTGACAGCAGACGGACAGACGCTGGGCAAAGTGATCCCAAAGGTCGCTCTGCTATGCAGAAAATAAGGCTGTCATTGATAATATTTAATGAAGGAAAATATTTTGTGACAAGCAGCTGTGTTTTGTCTGTACTATTAAATTTAAGGCCCGACCCGTCTAAATTCTTGGGCCGACCTAGTCTCACAATATTAAAGAAGATAGGCGTATTTGGTGTGTGATGTGCAGGAATCGTGTACGAAACATTGTCAAGCGGACGATTTGTCAGTTTGGAATATTTAAGTCTTCTTATCTTAATAGTTACCATAACTTGAAGAAAACCTTTCGCTCTCGATGCAATTGAACCAAAATTTAACTGTTTAAAAATTTAAATAAATCAGAGTAAATAAAATTAAACCGGCAAACGATTTGATTGAAATAAACGCTCCATGTTTTAAGCCATATTTTAGCAAATCAGATTTTTTCAGACTTTATTAAAACCAAGAGACGTACATTTCATAGGTATAAATATATTATACATATAATACACCATAAAACATTTCATATTCCAGTTTAGTTTAAATAACATCAACAAAATTTGTTGTACTCGATATAAAGTTAGTAACTTCTTACATTACCCCCCCCCCCCCAAAAAAAAAAAAAAAAACAAAACAAAAAACTATCCCATATCTATTCCATTTCACACTACCCCATATCTATCCCATTCACAGTTTTTGCTCCACACATATTACTAGTATTTTATATGGTGGTCTAAAAGGCGATTATCAGACTTTAAGTATAAAAGTAAAAATAACATTGTGTAACCTTAATTTAAAAACTGTTGATCCTCTCCTGCATATATACCTGCATTTTGTATATATATATATATAGGTAAAAAATCTATAAAGAAGCTTCCCAAAACATTAAGGCAATGCTAGTCATAGCTTTTCAAGATCTTTGGAACGACAGTCCCTCTTCTACTTTAACCCATGCCAACGAAATATCGATGTATCATTTTTATATTCAATACAGTTAAGCTCAAGATACCAAAGTTCAACTGTATTGAATATAAAAATGATACATCGATATTTCGTTGGCATGGGTTAAAGTAGTAGAGGGACTGTCGTTCCAAAGATCTTGAAAAGCTATGACTAGCATTGCCTTAATGTTTTGGGAAGCTTCTTTATAGATTTTTTACCTATATATAAGGAAGCGATTGCAAGGCGTCACGTGATCGACTCATGTGATGTTTAAAAAAAGAAGATTTACGGTAACCATTTCCGGAATAACAGCTGAATAAGGAGCGTGATTATGATTACGCCCATGACAAAATATCTTCGTGGCAATAATTTTAAAGCAGAGAAAGAATAATATTAAGATGTGATGTTGCAGAGTGTTGGTGAGCGTCGACGCAGACTTTTTTTTTAATTCCTGGTTGTTTTTTTTTTCGTTTCGACACGTCTACCTTTTGTCGTAGTTCTGAACACTGAAATCTATTTCATGAATAAATTTAATTCATATCTGGATCTTTATGTCCTCTAGTTTTATTTAAAATATTAGAATTTTATTTGAGATCGGTTTCTTTCCTATAGGATCTACATCTATGAATCGATATTCATTTCCTAGAAGCTTCAGACGGCGTGATTTTCTCAGTGATTATAATGAATATAGGCCTATATGGATGGACAGATAAATGAATGCGTTTTTCATATATACGTGTATAGACCAGTTTGAGGCCGCATGCTGGACATGAACGTATTTTTAACCCTCTTACTGCCAGAGGGGTCATATATGGGCTCTACCCACTGGCTGCCACAGGGGTCATATATGTCCCATCAAAAGTATTTTATATAAAAAAAAGTATTGATCTATTCAGTGTTTAAGTTTATGAATCACGTATTTATTCTTAAGCATTTATTTGCTCAAAGTAATAAAAATTGTAATGTTATCTTGGCAAATATTGAAAGACAACCGAGATACAATGACGACGTCAAACTCACAGTGATGACGTCAAAAACGTCACAATACGTACAGGGCATATTCCATACTACCCATAGTCCTCTGCGTCTCCGGACTCTGGCAGAAGTTTGGGCATATTCAAGACACTTTGCAATGGACTTTGCAAAATTTAATTATAAATGAAACGGTCTTTGATTTCTTTTTGGTACTTTTACTATAGATTAACTTTAAGAGTCACAAAAAAAAAAAAAAAAAAAAAAAGAACATTACAAAGAATAATGATATATAATGTCTTCAAAAATATCATAGCCTATTTTAAAGACATGGCTTAGAATCTTTGTTAGCACTTATAGTTTGCAAAGTATGATAAGTATACTTGTGTTGTCTTAATTTTTATTCATAGAAACATACATAGAATTTAAGATGTATCTTTCCCTCTCGTTTTATTAAGGGGACGACTAGTTAAAATGGGGGGGGGGGGGTGTCAGATTTTGGAATGAAACACTCTGCCCTTGAAAATTTTGTTAATAAATCATCTCTTCTACCTTAGGAAGAAACTTTTTTCTGGTAAAGAAAGTAAATAAGAATAAAATTTAAAAATTGTATATCTTGGAAATAAATACTGTAAATATTTTTTTATTCGCGAGAACTTTATTTTCGCATAATTACGCGAGACAATGTGCTCGCGAAAATTTCATTCTCGCGTATAGAAGTATTCCTAAAAATTATGTAGAGCAATTACCACAATTCGTAAAAAAAATTGTCTCGCTTATTAAGGGTGGATTATTTCGCGGAAACAATGTGTCGTTAAAATTTAGTGATCTACAGTACTCTGTCCTGCGAGGTGCGAGGGTATTAAAATATATAATCTAAATCGAGAAAATCACCCTCTCCACCTAACTTTCCTCTCAGAATTTTAATTTTCAAAGGTCAGTTTGTAATAAATATCCGTTTTGTGAATTACTGAAATTTTGATTTTAAAAGTCTAGGATTGCCAAACGATCTTGGGGCCAGATTATATACAAAAAAATTAGATTATGAATTTTTAGCTGATCAGAAATAAATCAGATGTTTATGGCTATTTAGTAAACTTTACTATAAAAACTTGATTTTGGGAATCAAAAGAAAAAATGGAATGGGAATTTCAGAAAATCAAACTAGGAGTACATGTACTACATGTACAAGTGAATCATGGAACGTATAGACGCCATTTTTTTAGAAGAAGGAAAATAGTTTAATTTATGTTTGAAATAGTGCATCTTCAATAAATCATTGTTTGTTCGATTAATATATTATATATCTAAAGATCTACAGATAGAATACTCGCTTGATTTGTTTTACATTCGGTGACTGCGGGATGTCACACGAAGAAAAAAACTTTTCCTCCCGCACCAACTATTGTTACATATATTGAAAGATCCGTTCCTGAGAAACACTAACTTATTTCCTGAATTCCGATATGTTTCTGAGCAAATAAAATCGTTCGCACTTTGTGCATATATTCCTCTGACAATTTCTTTATATAGTATTAACGAGACAGAATACTTGAAATACATTTTTAGCGGGATTAATATTTCCTGGTTTTTATAAATTACAGTGGCATAGCTTCTATGGGTGTGTTCCCGTTTTGCACACATTTGATAATTAGGTATAGGACAATAGGTGTGAAATATGTTTTGATAACAATTATAGTCCGATCCCCATCTGGGATTTACCTGGAATTACCTGTGTTTTACCAATGCATTATTATATTTAAAGAATACATTTTGGAAATTTTACTTGTCCAACCCAAATAAAGATGAGGTTGATAATTTAGACAGATATCCTTATTGCAGTTCACCCCGGTTTTTTTTTTTATTATTTCCTAAAGATTAACTCATCCATATAGTAAAATTACATGTATAATTTTGATTAGTATTTATGTTTTAAAATATATTTTTTTATTATGAAATTAAGGAAATAAATAAAAATATCAAATGCAAAATTAACATTTTTTTTTCAGTAGATTTTTTTTCTCCCAACTAACAACTATGATATAGACTATAGC